AACAAGCGCTATCGCGCCGCTTGGCAAGTTTCGATCAGGAAATGAGAAAAGCCCGTGGCACTCAAACGGTTAAAAAAAACATGAAAACGAGATATTTCGTAACCCGTACGCAACGTTCAATTTGCTAAAAACGAGATATCTCGTGACCCGTACGCAACGTTCAATTTGCTAAAAACGAGATATCTCGTGACCCGTACGCAATGTGTTAACTTTCAATAGACGTACGTAATTAGTGAACCAATTTTTCACTAACACGCAACGATTTTAGCACTTTTCAAACTGGATTTCTTACAACTTTTCTGCTCTCATAACTTGTTGTCAAATGCGCGAAAGAAAATAATTTTGTTTTTTCCGCACTTTGATCCCACTTCTGAACTGTAAGGGTGGGCGAATAATTTCAGGAGGCCACTTGATATAAACTTGATCTTATTAATTACATGGTAAAAGAGTGACTTAGAGCTATGCGCTCGAGAGCAGGGTCGAACAATGAGTGTAGCACTCTGCCGCCGGTCGTATTCGCGGCCTCATCGGCGATCACAACGCCGTCAAATCTAGCGTTCATTAGCATAAGCTATCGGCGATCACAACGCCGTCAAATATTGCGTTTATTAGCATAAGCTAGACGCACACACACACACACACACTCACGCCACACGTAGTAGGGCCCTCACGTATAGCATACTCATACTCTTACTAAAGGTTGTTACGTATGATTACGCAATCTATCCTTAAGGGAAGGGTCCACCCGAAGCACCCAACAAAAAAGCTATTTTTGCGAATTTTTTCCAAGAAAACTATAAAAGATACCGATATAATAGTTGTTGGGTTTAATAAATGAAGTCTTAAAATACATAAAAACATTTTTTTTATTCATTTTATTTAATTTTTTATTACTAAAACGATAGTTGTGATAAACACCTCAAAATTTGAATGCTTTGTTAGCTCCATCAGAACTTGAGAACGGCTTACCTGAAACAAAAAAATCAAATGGTTTTAGATTCTGTATGACTTCAGCTACAAAGTGAAGCAAATATATGAAGTTTTATTAACCCCTTGGCCTACACGATATCTACCAATTGCGCGAGCTATAATACGCAAGAAATTCGTTCGCGCGCCGTGCCATTCAACTGTTCAGCCGTGTACCCGAACTGGCGCAAAGTGTATACTTTTCGTAACATATATATTTCAATGCAACGAAAGGAATTGTGAAATAATAAACAATGTTTAGGTACAAATAGTAATTTTAA